CGAAGAAGGTACGAATGGCTGGAAGAAGTCCGGCGAGAGGGCCTTCCCGTCCTGGCGCAGCAGGGTCAGTGCCTCACCATCGCAGAGTTCAAGCTCTCCGAATACAACCTGTTCGACTACATGCCCCACTGGGTCCAACCGCTCGTGGGTTCCAAAGAAGAGCGCATCGCCAAGCTTTCTGAAGACGGCATACGCGACGGCATGAAGCGCGATGTCCTCGATCGCCCCCATGCCAGGACCGATTGGGCGCAGGTGCAGGTGGTGGAGGTTGCCCTGGAACGCAACCTCAAGTACGAAGGTTTGTCCATTGCCGACATCGCTGAGGCTGAGGGCAAACACCCACTGGACACGTTCCTGGACATCGCTCTGGATGAAGACCTGGAAACCGAGTTCGCTCACCCCGCTGGCGGGCAGGGAGACGAAGCCCGGGCCGAAAGGCTGGTCAATCCCTATGTGCATATCTCGGTGTCCGACGGCGGCGCTCATACCAGGTTCCTGGTCAACAGCGTGTGGCCCGTCTATTTCCTGGGTCACTGGATTCGCGACAACGAACTGATGACTCTGGAACAGGCCCACCAGAAAATGAGCGCGCTACCCGCCGCGTTCTCTGATATGAAGGGTCGCGGCACTCTGCGCGTGGGCGACTGGGCCGATGTCATGATCTACAACATGGACGAGTTGGGGCTGCTGTACGACAAGCCACGGTTCGAGACGGACTTCCCCGGTGGCGAAAAGCGGTTGGTGCAAAAACCCACGGGCATCCGCTACATTCTGGTCAACGGCACCGTTACCTTCGTGGAAAACGAATGCACCGCGAGCTGCCCGGCAAACTTTTGCGCAGCTACGACATGGTGGGTTAGTTCCTCTCGGAGTGTCACTCCGGAAAATCAACCCGCCCCGGGGCTTCGTCTCCCGTGGCGGGTTTTACGATCCACCGTGGGGAGGGTTCGCGGGTGAGGCCGTCAGTCAATCCACGTAGACCGCCCCCCCATGATGGCAGGCTATTCGTCGGGCACCAGTGCGACCAGGCGCTCATTCTGGACGGTTACCAGGAACGCCTTCATTCGAAACTCAGGTCGGTTGTCGCAGGTTCCTTCGCTCTTCTCGTACTGCCATCCGTGCCCATCGCAAACGAACAGCTCGTCGCCCTCGTCTTCGATCTCGCCACCCTGATGCGGGCATACCGTCGACAGCAGCTTGTAGCCGTCGCGTCCCCGCACCAAAAAGTAACGGGCGTCGCCCACCTTCACCGGTGCGGGTAAGGACACAAACGATGCTTCTTCGCCCAGGTCCACTCTGACCTTTTTGGACCGGGCTGATCCACTGACCTGGCGCAGGGAAACGGTACCTTTTCGACGTTCGGTGGTCATTGCAATTATCCTCCCCGCCGTGTTCAAGTCCTGCCTGTAATAGGTGGCCCAAGTATAACAAAGACCCGCCGGTTGCCAACGGTTGGTGGCGGTAAGATGGGCACAATGCTACACTGGCGATGATTAGAGTCCGTAAAGCGTAGGAGGTTCTTATGGTTGAGTACGTATCTGCAATCAATCTGGAAGATTTTGGTTTGAAAGTCGGTACACCGTCAATAAAATCAGTGGGGCCGCTGGCCTTTGGCCCCGAGGGGATACTGTTCATCGGAGACAACGCTGGTGCGGCCATATTCGCCGTCGACGTCGGTGATGCCGAACCGGGTGGCGGACACCAGCCGGTCAGCCTGGACAACTTCGATATGTCGCTGGCGTCCTACCTGGGCTGTTCCCGGAATGACGTGTCCATCCGGGACATGGCCGTGCACCCCATCTCCGATAACGTTTACTTCTCCGTCATGCGAGGAAGCGGCGACGCCGCCGTCCCCGTGATCGTCAAGGTTTCCGGCGGCGGGACCATCAGCGACGTGTCTCTCGACAACGTGGCCTTTTCCCAGTCCACGATCGAGGACGCGGCGGCCGAGGACGACCCCAGGCTGTTGGCGCGGGAGAAGCTGCGGACGGTAACCGTGACCGACATGTCATTTGTCGACGGACTGCTGTTGGTTGCTGGAACCTCCAACGAGGAATTCTCCTCCACCCTGCGCCGGATTCCCTTCCCGTTCAACGGTGATGTCGAGTCCAACTCGCTGGAAATATTCCACGTTTCCCACGGCCAGTACGAAACGGCAGCCCCCATTCGCGCCTTTATACCCTACCAAGGAAACAGCAGCATCCTGGCCAGTTACACCTGCACCCCGGTGGTGCAATTCTCCATCTCCGATTTTGCGCCGGGCGAACAGGTGAAGGGCAAAACGGTCGCCGAATTGGGCGCTCACAACCGGCCCCTGGATCTGATTTCCTACCAGCACGACGGCGGCGAGTACCTGCTGGTATGCAACGACCGGCACCCGTTGATCAAAATTGCCTGCAAGGACATCGACGGGCAGGGGCCGCTGACAGTTCCCGATGATTCCCTGGATGAGAATCCTTCTGACCCGGTCACCCCAGGCGTGGGTGTGCCCCGGCAGATACTGCCCCATCCCGGTGTCAAACGGATGGCTAACCTCAACGGCAGCGGCGTATTGATGCTGCAGCAGGACGAGGACGGTAGCACTCACCTGCGCTCCTACGCCACCAACACACTGTGACCCAATGCCGCAATTTGCGCCTGGAATGGGTAGAACACCAGGGGCGAAGTTGCCTCAGGGTCACTGGGTGGAGCGAATGTGAACTTGGCGAATTGGAAGGGTTGGGCGCCGACGAAATGGGCCGGCGCCTGGCCCTCCTGCCCAGCGAAGTTTTGACAACCGGCGGCGATTTACGAGCCGTCCCACCCGTCTCCGGCCACTTTACCGCAGAACAGGATGCGGTATTTTTCGTTCCCCGTTTCCCGTTCATGGCAGGCACGGACTATTCATTGGTGATTGGTCTTGACCGCCAGGAGGTCTGGGCCATCCTCCGTCCGGCCGATCCTCGTGCGCCGGCCACCGAGGTAGTGGCAATCTACCCCACCGCGGCTGAACTGCCCGTCAACCTGTTGCGGATATACGTCCATTTTTCCGGCCCCATGAGCGAGGGATGGGCGAACCGCGCCATTAAAATTTGCCGGGAGGATACGGGAGCGGTTTTGGAGGCTGTCTTTCTCCCGCCGGACCCCGAGCTGTGGGACTCAGACCGGCGACGCCTAACCATGCTGCTTGATCCGGGTCGCATCAAGCGGGGACTGGTTCCCAACACCGAACTTGGCTACCCACTGATCGAAGGCGTACCGATCAGGATATGCGTCGATCGTGAATTCCGCGACGCCGCGGGACAGCCCCTGAAGGCCGACGCCGGACGGAACTACCACATTGGCCCCGCGCTGAGGTCGCGCATCGACCCAAATCGTTGGCAATTGAGCGTCCCTGAGCCAGCATCTTCACACCCGCTTGTGGTCGATTTCGGCCGCCCCCTGGACCATGCTTTGCTGCAACGCTGTCTGCGGATTCGGGATTCCGACGGAAACCCGAATCCGGGCAAGGGTGATTCTGGCGTGGGGGAGAGCAGCTGGCGGTTCACTCCATTCTCGCCCTGGGCAGCAGATCGTTACCAGTTGGACATCAATCCCAGCCTTGAAGACGTGGCTGGCAATTCCCCCGGGCGAGTTTTTGACCGGGACATTTCTGAACCGGGAGATTTGCCGTCCGGTGCGGGACGGTTCGTCGTCGATTTTTCGTGCGTCTCGGCCACGGCGCCAATCGAGTAAAATACCATCCACTACCCAATCCTGTTTCTTAGCCGAGGGAGGTCCCATGAAGAGAAGCACATCCAGAATCCTGACCACCCATACGGGCAGCCTCCCCAGGTCGCCGGAGCTTCAGGAGCTTCTACGGGAACGGGAGGAGCAACGCGGTTTCGACGGTAACCTGTTTCAAGCTGGTGTCCGCAACGCGATCTCGGAAGTGGTGTCCCGACAGCAGAACATCGGGCTGGACGTGGTAAACGATGGGGAGCAGGGCCGCTCACAGTACGCCACTTATGTCAAAGAACGTCTCAATGGATTCGAGGGCGAACGCCTCGTTCGTAGCCGCCCCCGCCTGGACGATGCCGATTTTTCCGGATTACGCCGCCACGCAAACCACCATGTCATCTCGGAATATGCCCCAACCAGCCTGCACCGGACCCATCTCCTGGAAGGATTGGCCAGCGGTGGAGCGCGACATCGAAACTCTGCGAACGGTAGCGGCGGATGCACCCGTGGAAGAGGTGTTTATGACGGCGGCATCGCCGGGTGTAATCGCCAATTTCCTTCCCAACGAGTACTACCCCTCCGAGGAATCCTACCTCTACGCTCTGGCCGAAGTGATGAAGGACGAGTACAACGCCATCGCGGCGTCCGGCCTCATCCTCCAGATTGATTGCCCCGACCTCGCCATGACCCGAGTTTCCCAGTTCTCCCACCTTTCGGAGGAGGAGTTCAAGAAAATTGTAGAACTCCACGTCGAGGTCATCAACTACGCCCTGAAGGATATCGAGCCGGAGCGAACCCGGATGCACCTCTGCTGGGGCAATACCGAAGGCCCCCACCACCACGACATCCCGCTCAAGGAGATCGTACGGCTGGTGTTGCAGGCCCGGCCTCTGGGCCTGTCCTTTGAAGGAGCCAATCCCAGGCACGGGCACGAATGGAAAGTGTGGGAAGATATCCAGCTACCCGAAGGGAAGCTGCTGATCCCGGGAGTGCTGGACACCACCACTAATTTCATCGAACACCCGGAGCTCATCGCCCAGCGCATCCTCAATTACGCCCGCTGTGTGGGACGGGAAAACGTCATGGCTGGCAGCGATTGCGGTTTCGGCACCTCAGCCTGGGGCAGGAAGGTTGAAACCAACATTGCCTGGGCAAAGCTGGCATCCATGGTGGAAGGCGCCCGGCTGGCTTCTCAGGAACTCTGGTAAGAACCTCTACAATCCGGCTAACTTCGTCGTGGCGGATTTCGCCCCGGTGCCGAATGTTTAATCCGGCTAATCGTGGTCGCGCCGGCGGTTCTAACCCCTTCCCTCATAACCCTCGGATCGACCGGCTCACTCTCCAGCGCCAGTACCGCGAAGGTACACTCATGCACCCGGTAAAGAGGCTCTCCCTCAACGAAACGATGGAGACCCTCCACTCCCAGCGCAAACTCCCTAACGGCCAGGGACCGCTTGGCGGAGACACCCCGATTCCGCAGCCGTCCGATGTTATCCGGCATGGAGTACTCCGGGCCATATATGATCCGCAGGTACTCGGCGCCCCGGCACTTCATGGCCGGCTGCACCAGGCCCCGCTGGCCGGTGGCAATAAAATCCAGCGGCTTCACCACCATGCCTTCCCCGCCCTTGCCGGTCAGTTCCTCCCACCAGTGTGTCGCGTCAGTCTCATCCGATGCGGTCAGGTCGACGACGTGATGCTGGGTTTCTTTGAACAACGCCGGATCGGCCTGACTCAATCGTGCGGCTACGTTCATGTGCCACAGATGGTCCTTATCCGTATGCGCGTGCCCTTCGCTCGCCAGCAGATGGAACGGCGCCAGCTGGATGTCGGCCAAGGATGTTACGGGCCAGCAATACCGGGCGTAGGCGTCGCTGTAGAGTTCGGCGAGGTGCAGCCGCTCTTCGATGCCAGGCAGGGCCGCGCCGACGCCGACGCCACGGTTCGCCGTCTGTTTGAGCAGCGATTTCGCCGACGCGAGACTCGCCCGGGCCGCCGCGCCAACCGCCGCGTATTGCGCCCGCAGCAGCTCCTGCGCCTTTACCGACCAGGGCATGAGCTCGCAATCCAGCACCGCCCAATCGGTGCTCAGTTCTTCCCAGAGCCCGGCCGCAGTCAACGCCGACCGGACCCGTTCCAGCAATTGCGACTCAAGATTGCGGTCTTCAAAAAACCTTCGCCCCGTACGGGTGTAGCAGGTTCCAATGCCTTCGCCGGTGATGCCGAACCGCCGCTCTATGACTTCGGCGTCCTGCCCCACCACGACGATTGCTCGGGATCCCATGTGTTTCTCTTCGCAGACCACGCGAGACACGCCGTTGTTGCGGTAATAAGTGAATACCTCAGCCGGGTGCTCAAGCAAGTCGGGGAGTCTGGAGGTATCGCCCGGCGATATCGTGGGCGGCAGGTACACCAACCAACGCGGGTCCAGCGCGAAACGGCTCATCACCTCCAGGGCTGCCGCCGCGTTCTCTTCCCGCACCGTTATGTTGCCCCGCAACCGCGTCGCTACGATCCGTTTTCCGATCACGTCGTCAATGTCGAGGAGGTTGGCCCCCCTATCTTCAGCGCTGGCCGGTGTCCCTTCGGCGTGATCGGGTTCGGACAGCGGTTTCACCGGTTCGTAGTAAACACGCCCCGCCGGAACCGAAACCAGCTCCTGTTCCGGATACCGGAGGGCGGTCAGATTGCCGCCGAACACGCACCCCGTATCGATGTTGATGGTACGGTTGAGCCACGCGGGTTCCGCGACCGGGGTGTGCCCGTAGACCACCATCGCCCGGCCACGATAATCGGCCGCCCAGTTGCCACGAACCGGCAGACCCCACTCGTCTGTCTCCCCCGTGGTCTCGCCGTACAGGCAAAAATCCCGAACCCGCGCCGACGCCCGGCCCTGGTATTCCACCTTCATGCCGGCGTGAGCCACCACCAGCTCGCCATCGTCCAGCACATAGTGGCTGATCAGTCCGTCCAGGAACCTGGCCGCCCCCTCACGGAATGATGGGGACTCGTTCTCCAGCTGCTCCAGTGATTCCGCCAGCCCGTGCGATACCTGAACGTTCCTGCCCTTTAGCTTACGAACCAGCTTGGACTCATGGTTACCCGCCACGCACAGCGCCGCGCCATCTTCCACCATGCTCATCACAAGTTTCAGCACCTTGGTGACGCCCGGGCCCCGGTCTACCAGGTCGCCGACAAAAACGGCCTTCCGCCCTTCCGGGTGGATCACCGCATATCCAACCTCACCGTCAGCGCCAACCCGGTCGGCCAGCGCGTAGCCCAGGCGTTCCAGGAGTAGTACCAGCTCGTCGAAGCACCCGTGCACATCGCCGATAATGTCGAACGGACCGTGTTCATCCTGCCGGTTGGTCCACAACGGCATCCGCTCTATGGTAGCCGCTCCCACCTCTTCCGGAGAGTTGAGCACATATACGTAACGGAAGCCCTCGCGTTTCAATCCGCGCATGGATCTACGAAGCTGTGCTGCCTGCTGGCGCACGACGCGATCGCCAAACTGCCGGTCGGAGCGGCTTTCGTTGCGGGCCAGGCACAGCGCCTCCGGCATGTTCAGGACGATTGCCACCGGCAGACAGTCATTCTCCCTGGCCAATTCCACCAGAGACTTCCGGGCCTGAACCTGAACGCTGGTAGCGTCTATGACGGTAAGGCGGCCGGCCCGCAGGCGTGTGGCCGCAATGAAGTTGAGCAGCGCGAATGCGTTGGGCGTGGCGCTCTGGTCGTTGGCGTCGTCCGCCACCATCGCCCGGCACGCGTCAGACGACACTACCTCGGTGGGTTTGAATCGCGTGGAGGCAAACGTCGATTTCCCCGACCCTGATGGGCCGATCAACGCGATCAGACAAAGCTCCGGAACGGTGATCTTCATCGAGTAAAAACTCCCAGCTGCGTCGGTGAGCCGAGAGTGTCATGCTCCGGCCCGATGTTGTCGAAACGCACTTCATAACTACGGCGGTTGGCGACGCCGCGAGACCATGCCTGGAATTGCTCCCGCGTCCACTCGAATCGGTGATCCCGGTGCCGGAATTCTCCAGCGGGCAACCCCTTGAACAGTGCGTTGTATTCAGCGTTGGGCGTGGTGATGAGCACCGCGCCGGGTTTCGCCGAGCCGAACACCACCTCTTCGAACGCATCGAGTCGCAGCGGGTCGATGTGCTCGATCACCTCCATGGCGATGGCAGCGTCAAAACCGGAAAGTCGTTTATCCCGGTAGGTAAGGGAACCGTGCAGTAGGTTGATGCGTTCCCGCTGCTGGTTGGGCATGGTATCCAGATGTAGACGCGCACGGGCCGTTTGCAACGCCCGGTGAGAGACGTCGACACCCGTGATGGAACGAATTGCCGGCTCCTTGAGCAGCTCACTGATCAGTCTCCCTTCGCCACAACCCAGATCGACCACACGAGTTGAGCCCAGCGAGCGCAGAGTGTCCAGCACGGCCTGGATGCGTTGTTCACCCAACTTGATCGGGGCTTCCAGTTGCTCCTCTTCCTGGCCGTATCGCACGGTGGTTACGCTCGGGTCGGCCTGACCCGCGTCAAGCAGTTGTGCCAGCGCCTGACGCCAAAGGTCACGCTGGTGCTTCAGGTAGCGGCGGGAGATCAGGTCCCGTTGTGGATGGTTGTTCAGCCACCCCTCACCATAGCGCAGCAGCTTGTCCACCTCGTCGTCGCCAACCCAGTAGTGCTTGTCGTCGTCCAGCACGGGCAGCAGCACGTAGAGGTGCGCCAGAAGATCCCGGAGCCGTACTTCCGAGGCGAGTTCCACGCTGAAATACGGGCTGGCTCCCCATTCTGGGAACCGGTCGTCCAGTTCATGACCCTGAACCTCAACGCTATAGCCCAGAGGCTGGAACAAACTCCGGATGAGGTCCGCACCTTCGCGGGAAGGTGCCACTTCAATCCTCGCCTCGAGCGGGATGGCCTGGTCTGCCAGGGTCGGGCGATCCTTGCTGGTTCCTGCCAGCGCGCTCCGGAACACAGTAGCGATTGCCACGCTCAGGTGTGATGACGCCACATAGGGCCGGTCGTTCACGTATTGCTCGAGCCAGGCCCCGGTGTTAGGCCCACCGGGTTTGCCACGCACCAGGCCGATTGGATCGATATCCAGTAGCAGTGCTGCAGTGCAACGATCCTGCTCTGCTTCAGGGTAAAAAACGTCAGCTCTGCCGAATGGAAGGTTGAACGACTGATATCGGCTGGGATTCTTGTGCAGCAAAAATCCCAGGTCGGTTGCCGGCTTATAGGTGGTTGAGATGGTGAGCAGCATGACATTAATGGTACTTGAGACAATCGCTGGTGTACAGCAATGGTGTTCCCCGTTCATCCTGAGCCCGTCGAAGGATCATCCTGAACCCCTCCTGTCGTTGCGAGGAGCGCAGCGACGTGGCAATCCCGTAATCTCCGGCTCATCCTGAGCCCGTCGAAGGACCCCCTTCTCCCTGGCCGGCGTAGGCCGAAAATAGTGCCGGAGTGGAAAGTGCTTCCACCCCGGCATCGCGGACGTTGTTGATGCGCGTTGTTCTCGAGCCCGGCGCTGCTCCAAGTCTTAGTTTGGAACCCACGCCATCGCGCCCACCTCGCTGAACTCTCTCTTGAGCTTTTGCCAGGAGTCGCCAGCATCGCTGCTGGAGTAAACCTCGCCCAGCAGGCTGGAGGCAAGAACGAAATCGGGGTCTGCCGGGTGGGTAGCAATCGACCAGATGTTGGAATTGGGTTCCACTGGAAGCGGCGCGTCTCCCAGGTTTTGCCGGCATCCTTGGAACGCTGGATCGCTCCGGTGCTGCCGATGGCGGTGTCGCCTACCGCCGCGAAAATTACGTTGGGGTCGTCCGGCTTGATGGCGATGCCTCGGCTGTAGGGCAGGACAAAACGGTCGGTTGTAACCACCGACTCCCAGCTTTCACCCATGTCTGTGGTGGAGAAAATCTCTCGTGGAGTGCTGGCAAAGACCTTGTTTGGCTCCCCGGGGCTGATGGCCATGCCGTGGATATCAGGGTGCACGCCACCTTCCACGTGGGTCCAGGTGTCACCGCCGTCCAGGCTGCGGTACACACCGTCGACCTCAACGCCGGCCCAAACCGTGCGGTGATCCTTGGGGTCGACCATCAGCATGGTAACCATGGGAGGCCCTATGTGGCATTCCTGGGCCATCTGTACGGACAACCGGGTCCAACTTTGGCCATCATCCCGGGAGCGGTAAAGAGCCGCCGGTTTTATGCCCACAAAAATCGTTTGTGTATCCTGTGGGTCGATGGCTATCGACCAGATGGGAACACCCTCCATGGGCGACCACAGCTTCTCCCACGTCGCGCCTTTATCTTCACTGCGATAGATGCCGTTATCAGATCCAGCCAGTATCCGGCTGGGGTCGTCGGGGTACGCTGCCAACGCCCTCACCTGGCTTCCCAGTGGGAACGGGTCTCTGATCCGGTTCCAGTTATCCCCCCCGTCTGGGCTGTGCCAAACACCGCCGCCGAATCCCACGGCGCCCACGCAAATACTGTAGTTGTTACCCATAGCACTATCTCCTCCGAGGATAATTTAATCGTCCGCTCAGGAAGCGTTAGCCACGCTTTTCGAAAGTATACTGCTTTTTCCGCACTAAACCTATCATCAACAGTCCATGTAACAGTTCAGACTCGACGGGTTGTTTCCATATCACTCCGTCATTCCGGCCTTGAGCCGGAATCCAGAGAAGTCTTTAAACCGCAATGTTGCTTATCCTGGGCTTCCTAGATTCCCGCGTTCGCGGGAAAGACAGTTTGGGGCAGGATACTATCTTCAACTCTGAACAGTTACCAGTCCATAGACCGTTGGCAACGCATCGCATCAGCAGTTTCAATGCCCGACGTGATTCGGGTCGTAACCACGAAAGACGGCGTGCCCATTACGAAGCACCGCCGCGACAGACGGTCGGACACCCTGTACCCAACCCTGCCGACGGTCAACATCACGCCAGCCGCCGGCTTCGTCATACGGCGCCGATTTTGTAGTTGGAGCTCACTCCGCCCCTTGGGATATCGCTACCAAACACCCTTTGACCGGGCCCGAGTTGACTAAATATGTCAAGGCCCGCCTCCGGCGCAGAAGTCACTGCAACCGGAGCCGGGCCTTGAACTAACCGTCCAGGTGAATCGTGGCGGTTACCCTGGGAACGTCGCTCACGACCCGAGTCGTGTGACCATGGCCCGTCATGTCTTCAGCAAGGTTGACATCTCCGGCGCCCAGTCGGTAGACCGTCCCGTCGGCGAGCCCAATCTCCGCTTCCCCCGACAGTGTGATTATGTATTGTCTGCGTGGAGCCACGTGCCAATCGCTGAAGTACCCCGGTTGCGACGCCCGGAATACGATACCCTTGGCGTTTTGCAACTGGCTCCACGCGGGGTCGGTGGGCGGGTCGATCTCTTCAATGTGAGATTCGCCATCGTCGCCAGAATATAGTCGTATGGATCCCATGATCACTCCTGTTGTTGCCAGATTTCACCCCGAATCTTAACACGAACCAGGGGCCACGGCATGGGTAATCCCGGAAAAAAGCGCGCGCAATCCGCCTATCAATGGACAGGACGGGCAAACTGACCTAGCATACGACTCCTATGACTGATCTACCTACACGAATCCTTGGCCGCACCGGTCTGGAAGTTACCACGCTGGGGTTTGGCGCACTGGAGTTAAGAGGCATGGTCGCCGGCGTAGGGCGGGAGTTGTTCCCCCATCAACCGGCTGAAATCCTCAACGCCGTCCTGGACGCCGGGATCAATTACATCGACACGGCTGTGGACTACGGCGTGGCCGAGCAGCACATCGGCGACAATATCTCCCACCGCAGGTCTGAATTCTATCTGGCCAGCAAGTGCGGGTGCCCTCTGGACAACTCCGGGTTCAGCCCCGACGAGCGCACCAGGTTTGGCGTCCCCTTGCCACGGTTCCATAACTACGGCCGGGACAGCATCATCGACGCGGTCAACCAGAGCCTCCGGCGCATGAAGACCGATTATCTTGACATCGTCCAATTCCACTTCAGTCCGGCGCGGGAGATTTTGGAACACGAAGACGGCATCGAAACCCTGCAGGGCCTCAAACGCCAGGGGAAGATCCGGTACATCGGCTGCTCTTCCATCCTTCCCAATATCTTCGATCATATCGAGATGGATGTATTCGACGTGTTGCAAGTACCGTATTCGATTCTGCAACCGGAACACGGCGAAGCAATCGCCCGGGCAGCCTCGGCGGGACTCGGCATCGTCATTCGCGGCGGAGTGGCCCGAGGCCAGCCAGGCGAGGGGCAGGGTACTTCCCAGATATGGGATCTATGGGACCGGGCTGAACTGGACGACCTGTTGCAGGGTATGACCGCCACCGAGTTCCTGCTTCGCTCTACTATTTCGAACCCGGATGCACATACGACCATCGTGGGCACTCTGAACCCATCCCACCTGCGAGATAACGTCGACGCGGCGTTGAAAGGACCCCTCCCTGCCCCTTTGCTCCAGGATGCCAAAAACCGCCTTCGCTCCATCGCGGGTCAGTAGCGCACCGTCGTTCAGTGTGGAGTCCAGTGGCGCGGTTGACGGTGTGGTCCCTTGGGAGGACCTCCCGTCGAGGGCGGTTGCGCCAGGACGAACAATGCGAACCGAAGGCTCACCTGTTTGGGCATCACCTGCCCTGGCCCACCGCCATGTTATTATGAGTCGCCCAGATCAAAGCGACCGCCCCTTTTTACATACCCCTTTCCACATGCCCAATTCCAAAGGAGGACTCGGCAAATGGCGACAGTCGGACCAGCATGGACCCAGGAATTCGTGGACGTCGCAGGCGCCCGGCTCCAATTGGCCCGTGGAGGTAACGGCGACCCGCTGCTGATCCTCCACGACGAGTTGGGCCACCATGATTTGTACCGATATCACGAAGCTCTGGCCCAGGAATACACCCTGTACATACCCTCCCACCCCGGATTCGGTGAAACCGAGCGGCAAGAATGGATCATGAACATGCGTGATCTGGCGGGATGGTACCTCGAGGCCATCGAGGACATGGGACTTCAGCAGGTCAATCTGCTTGGTTTTTCCCTCGGCGGCTGGCTCGCCGCGGAAATGGCATCCATGTCTCCCAATCTGTTCAAGAAGTTGGTGCTGGTCGGTCCGGCCGGGATCAAACCCCCCACCGGCGAGATTTATGACATGTTCCTGGCGGTGGCCGCGGAGTATCTAACCGAGGGTTTCTATGACCCGGAAAACACCGCCGAATTCCAGCAGGCCTGCCCCGATGAACCCAGCGCTGAATTAATCGAAGCGTGGGAAGTGGCTCGCGAGGAAGCTTGCCGGTTGAGCTGGCGCCCTTACATGTACTACCCTGGCCTCTCCAACCTGCTCCACCGCCTCAAGAACCTTCCTACTCAGATTATATGGGGTAGGCAAGACAACATCGTGCCTGTCAGCGCCAGCCAGTTGTATCACGAGTCTATCCCCGGCTCCCGCGTGGACATACTGGAAAACTGCGGGCATCGCCCGGAGTTGGAGAAAACCGACGACTTCGTGCGCCTCGTGAAGGACTTTCTGTCGTCCTAGGTCTTCCCTGGCTATGTTAGAATCCGCCTTGTAGCACGAGCCGGAAGGAGAATCAAAATGTTCATTGGATACTTCACTGAACGGCCGTACCAGGACCCAAAGTCCGGGTATTTTGGGGCCACGGGTAAACCGATTATGGACCTGAACGTCAGCAACGAAATTTACGATTCCGAGTTGGGGGCAACGCTTTACAACCGATACCTCGATGAGAAGATATACGCCGAAGAAATGGGTTTCGACGGCCTGATGCTCAACGAGCACCACAGCACCCCCTTCTGTATGGGCGGCGCAATGAACGTGGAAGCCTCCATCCTTGCCCGCATCACCAAGCGGGCCAAGATCGTTCTGCTGGGAAACATCATTCCCATCTGGGACGACCCGCTTTGGCTGGTGGAACAGCTATCCATGATCGACATGATCTCCCGCGGCCGGCTGGTATCCGGCTGGGTGCGCGGCACCGGCAGGGAGAGCGTGGCCCACAACGTCGAACCCCATTACAACTGGGAAAGGTTCAAGGAAGCCCACGAACTGATCGTCAAGGCGTGGACTACTCCCGGTCCATTCCGCTGGGAAGGCAAGCACTACCAGTTTCGCCACGTCAATCCCTGGGTGAAACCCTACCAGAAGCCTCATCCTCCCATCTGGCTGCCCGGCGTGGTCAGTCGAGACTCCCTGATGTGGGCGGCAGAGCAGCGGATTCCCTACATCATGCTCGCCACCGAGATGGAACCCACCAAGCAGGCCTTCCAGCTTTACCACGACACTGCTGCTGAGCTGGGCTATGAGTCTGGCCCCCAGAACATCGGTTACCTCTGGAAGGTCCACGTTGACGAAACCGAGGAGTTGGCCGAAGCAACCGCCCGCAAGTACGTGCAAGGCCCCAGCAACCCATTCCTGGCCGGAAATGAGGGTACCGTCAACCCGGCGTTGCTCAACCTCCCTGGCCTCACTTCCCGTCGCCGGGTGCTGCCAACCCAATCCGTAGCCACCGCTGCCCGCGGCGGAAACGCCGGTCCTGGCGGAGCCTTGGGTCGCCCCTACGAGCAGCAGATCGCAGACTATACAATCATCTCGGGCACACCCGACAGCGTGATCCCCAAGATTCGCCACGTCCTGGAAACCATCCGCCCCGGGAGCATTTTCTTCTGGGACGGCGACGGCGCCATGACCCACGACGACGCCATGCGCAGCCTGCGGCTCATGGGACAGGAAGTGCTCCCCGCCGTCCGAGAGATTGCCAAGGATCTGGATCTGCCCGGCCCCTTCGAGGTCGACCCCGCCACCAGTCAACCCTACGTGGCAAATCCACCCGTGCCAGTCCCGGCGGCAGACGACTAAATCCTGTCCATCCCCTCGTCATTGATTCGACCTCTCCCGGATATGGGAGAGGTCGTCATTATATCCAGCGGCCAAGCCTGTTTCTCATCGCCGATGCTCGCACCGAGGCGAAAATGTCACCGGAGAAATCTAGCCTGAAATATCATCCAGCATCGCGATCTTCTCCTGGAACAGGGCGATGGCCTTTTCTTCCGGCACCCCCATGAAGAACCTGAGCCCCTGGACGTACTCGACAACTTCCCTTGGGAGCATGCGCAGGTCGTTGCGGGGACCCGTCACTTTGTACAGGTTGTTCATCCAGTCCTCTTGCCCAACAAAAAGGGCATCCTCCACCACCACATAATCCCTCCGTTCCATCTCCACCTTGGCCATCCACCGGGAGAAAACGAACGGCAACCCGGTCCACGCCTGCCATTCTTCCCCCAAGTCGTACCGGTGGGGGAACCCTCGCGCTCCACGGCGGTTGCGCAAAGCCCCGTTGCCGGTTAACAGGTAGGCATCATGGTCGGAGTTCTCATCGACGAATGCCCCACTTTTAGCGCCGTGTTTCAACCTCAGCAGCACTTTAAGCAGGCTTACTGATGTGGAGTCGCCGTCGCCCACGACAATCCGGCCCTCGCTCAAAGTCTCTATGGGCTCTTTAGACAGGAGTACACTGGCCATCCCCAAGCCAACCGACGCAACGCAGAATCCGGTCATTAATTTGGCCTTGTCCGCCAGCCGGAAGGTATCCACCAGGGAAACCGGCCCCGCGTCTATTTCGCCCTTCTCCAGGGCATCGGCCACCGCGTTGAGATCCATATTTCGCAACTCAATACCGCGGCGCTCCATGTCGAAATAGAACGCTTCACATTCCAGATTGGGTATATGGGCTACCGTGATGGGCATGACAAAGACAAGCTCCTATATGGTCGATGGCCAGGTTCCCGAGAATCAGGTCTGGAGTTCCCGGACGCCACCATCGAGGAGGGCAATGGGGCGCATCTATAAGCATCCGCGCCGGGTCGTGGGAATTCGTTCGAGAACCCTGCTGATCAATCGAGTGCAACTCGTGATAGTCGTCAGCGTCGGAAAACAACGCTTCGGCGAATCCCATCCACCACGCACCGGGGATTGGCTGTCCCGCCATCGGAACAGCATACTCGTGGCTCCGCAGGGATTCTATGGGTGCATGTCAACCGATTACTACGGCATGTAGCACATGGGAAGGCCCCCGCCCTCTGCCGGAGAAGCCCTGATTAGAGGCTTTCGTCGGCTTCAGTCGGAGGCCTTCCCAATGAGTGTAACTCGGTCTGGGGGCTACAGCCTGGGCCCCATAAAGGTGGATGATTGCTTGCGATATACCTGGATACGGTTGCGAGGGCCTTCACAGACGAACACCGTGTTGGAATCGTCCACTGTAACCCCGGTGGGGGCCCAGAAGTCCTTTTCCCGCTCCATTCCCTGCGCACGCTCCCGCTCGCCCCACATCTCCGGATTAGCGTCCAGTTTGTCCTTGCCCCACTTGGAGACAGTCGCATCACCGGTTTTGAGGGCGGCAAAGTTGCCATCCGGATCGAAGACCTGTAGGCGGTCGTTCAGCCAATCAGCGACGTAGATGATGCCGTCCCTGTCAACCGCGACGTCGGTGGGACGATTGAATTCGCCTTCACCCGAGCCGGAAGAACCGAACTTCATCAGGAACTGGCCGTCGGCCGTAAACTTCTGGATGCGGTCGTTCCGCCAGTCGGCGATAAAGATGTTGCCCTGCTTGTCGATGTCGATTCCCCAGGGCATGTGGAACTCGCCGTCCCCTTCGCCGAACGATCCGAAGTTGGACAGGAACTTGCCGTCAGGAGTAAATTTCTGCACCCGGTGGTTCATGCTATCAACGACGAACACGTTGTCGTCCTTGTCGATGGCCAGTCCGGCGGGCCGATTGAGCTCGCCGTCACCGCTGCCGAAACGTTCCTCCCATTTGCTCAGGTACTCTCCGTCGCCGCTGAAGATGGATATCCGATGCATCCATTCATCAGAAACATAGACGTTGCCATTACTGGCGATGGCTACGGTAACGGGCCAGACCAGGGAACCGTCGTCGAAGTTGTACTCGTGCGGCCCCTGCTGGGGTACGCCTCGGGCGAAGGCGTTGACGTATTCCTCGTTTACGGTGCAAACCGCAATTCGAGTGCCCTCGGGCCGATATTCCGGAGACCGGCACAGGACGTACATGAGATCGTCCTCGCCCCGGGCCATGTTGACCGGATACGTGAATCCCGGTCCGAACTGCTCGCCCCGCCCGATGGTGTGGCTGTACTGTAGTTGTACGTGCGATATTCTGGTGGGGGTCATACTTACCTCACAGTGTCTGACTAAATGAACGCCATCTGCTCGAACGCTCCGTTCACGATGGGCTTGGCATCCAGGCCCATCCACTTCTCCAGGAGCGCGGAGTAGAGGCCACGGAAGTCGTTGTTGAAGTGCAGGTCTCCCTCCAGCAGCTTTTCCTGCTCCAGAGAGGGATATTCGCCGTAGAGTCCGCCCTTTACCGCATCGCCTACTACGAAAGCCACGCCGCCCGAACCATGGTCAGTGCCAGATCCGTTGTCGTGCACCCTGCGTCCGAACTCGGTGAAGACCAGCAACACCACGTCGTCTCCGGCGTTGTGTTCCTTAAGGTCGTCGTAGAAGTCGGCCACCGCGCGAGATGTCTCATTCCATAGCCTGGTGTGGTTCGCCAGCTCGCCCGCGTGCGTGTCAAAGCTGTTGTAGGGCGCCGTCGTATACAGCACCCTGGTTCCCAACCCGGCCAGATGCACCTGCGCGATGTTGCGCATGTACTGAGCGACGGTGTCGTCGCCGTATTCAATAGACGAGGTATACATGGCGGGGGCGGTGCTGAGGATGTCGGCCCCTTCCAGGGCGTCCAGACCCGTTTGGGCGAAGTAGTCCAGCACCGGGCCTTGGCCGATCATCGGCGTGTAGACCCTGGTGAACACATCGAGGGCCTTGGTTCGCTGCTCTTCGAGCTCGATTCCTGTCAGCACCCCATAGGTTTCAAGGTTGCCAACCGAAGCCACCGGCACGCCGGGGGCAACGAGTGACCTGGGGAGACCCCGGCCAAAGTTGACGCCTGTCAATACGTTTTCCTTCCCCGGGTCCAGGTCGCGCACGGCGCGGCCCAGCCAACCCTCGTCGCCCACCTTGTCCGGCTCACAGGTGTGCCAGATGTCCATGGAACGGAAGTGGGAGCGGCTCGGGCTGGGGTATCCTACGCCCTGAATGATGGCAACTTTGCCGTCATCGTACAGGCGTTTAATCGGGGCCATCGCCGGATTGAAGCCGATCTGGTCGTTGATCGGAAGAACCTGGTCGATGGGTATTCTTACGTTGGGCCGGTTGTCCAGGTACAGGGGATCACCATAAGGAATGATCGTGTTCAGAGCGTCGTTGCCCCCTGACAGCTGGAGGACTACCAGCACCGGGTCTTTTTTGGTGGATGTCATTTCTTTAGTCCTCCCTATTTATGCGAATAGGTACTCGGTAGTGGCCACGATGGACTGCAACATTTGCCCCACCCTCTGGCCAAACTCGTCGGTGCCGGTCTGCAACTCGCCTTCGCTGCGGGCCAGCGACACCAACTCGTTGCGGGTCACATCGGCCAACTCGTAGGCGCCCAGCATGTCCAGACAGCCGTCAACCAGCCGCTCCGGTGAAATGGTGGCTCCCTCAGAACCCAGGCGGTTGATGATGGCCTGCACTCCGCGGTGCGACGTGTTACCCACGGCGTCCGCCGTGAAGTTGATGCGCTCTACCAGCGTTCCGCTGTCGATCCACTCCCGTCCAGTATGCCAACCCTCAACCGTCGGAGGATTCAGCAGGTCCTGACCCATGTACCGGATGGTGAGGGTCATGGCGTTCAAGCCGGGCTTGGGCATATCGAAGTCGCCGACCAGGCGCATGGTCCCTACCACGGTTTCAGTGGGACTCTTCACCTTGGTGAAACGGGCATCCTTGAAAAAGCCAGAGTTGAACAGCACCCGCAGCATCGAGCGGACGTCATAGTTGGAGCGGAAGTACTCGTCCTCCAGCATCTTGATGGCTTCAGGGTCCCTGGGGGGAGTGTCCTTCCATGCCGGAACCTGCGGCTCGTCGGCGACGAAGAAGTTGTACAGGTGCCTGGCGATGAACCTAGCCGCGCCGGGCTGCCTCGCGACGATCTTGACGACGTCTTCGCCGTTTCCAGGTCCCGGTCTCGCCCAGGAACGACTTTTCGCCATAGTCGTGGTCCGACGGGTCGTAGATGAAAGCCGCCTCGTATTTGCCGTATGGATACCTGGGGACCGAGTTGGTCACCGTCCAGCCGGTAAAGGCGCGGGCGCACTCCTGTACGTCATCCTCAGAATAGTTAGCCTCACCGTCCATACCGACGCCCAACGAAAAGAGCTCCAGAAGCTCGCGGCCCCAGTTCTCATTGATGGCGCCCTTGTGGCTCATGCAGTTGTCAAGGTAGAACATCATTGCCGGGTCCATCGACAGTCCCAACAGCAGGTCGTGGAAGCTTCCCATTCCCATGGTGCGGAACATTTCGAACTCGATCTGTTGCTGCTTGGGGTATTCACACTTGGCGTGGCCGGTGCAGAAGATCTGGTGCCAGAAGAGGGCAATTTTCTCTTCCAGCGGGCGCTTGGTATTGATCATTCGGAAGGTCCATTCTTCCTGCTGACCCTCAAGTCCCGCCTGGGATACCCACTGCGGCTGATAGCGCATCAACAGGTCACGCTCGATCTCGGGCTGCGCCTCCGGATGCAACAGTTCTTCTACAGTGGCCTCGTAGCCATTGGCGACTCGGGCCTCCAGTTCTTCGTACGTCGCTCCGAAGCCGGCGCGGCGCATCAAGTGGGCCATTAATGCGATATCCTTGTCTGCCATTCTTTCTCCTCCTGAGTACGTGTGCTCGGTCATTCACCGGCAACTACCTGGGATTACGGTTTCCCGCTGCAATGCTTCACGCCCAGGTCGTATGCGCCAACCTTTTCCCACTTTGCTCACCAATTCAGACGGGCAAGCGCGGGCACCGGCGCTGCTACCGGTACTGCTATTGGCACCATCGTATTCCTAACGTTGACGTACGTCAACATTGTTTATCATGTGAGAATATTTCCAAACTAAACACGGTCAATCTCTGGCCCTCTGTATTGTCTGATCCACGGCGGCCCAGGTCGTGGTTTTCCATGTATCCTTGTCTCTGTATCCTTGTCCTGAACCTCTGTGGCGTAGTCCGCTTCCAGGCTCGCCCATTTGGAACGCCCATATATAAGGAGACTAACCGTGGACAAAATCAGGAATAATTACCCCGATATCGCCCCGTCCGGACCTACCTTCAGCCGAGGCGTCAGAGTCGGCAACCTGCTTTTCATCGCCGGCTGCACCGCCCGCGGCACCGACGCTCAGGGCAAGCCGGTAATGGAACAGCTGAGGGTGACATTGGACCGAATCACCCGCATCGTGGCACAAGAGGGCGGGAACCCCTCCGACATCGTCAAGATCACTACCTTCGTCACCAGCGTCCCCGACTGGCGGTCGCACCGGGAAGAACAGGAGGCGCTGTTCGCCGAGTATTTTCAGGGTGAATATCCCGCCAACACGCTGGTGGAGATCACCGCCCTGGCCGAAGACGGATTGGACGTGGAGATCGAAGCGATCGCCGAAATAAGCTAGAGCATTCGCCCCTGTTTCCGGTTAACTTCTGACCCGTCCGGCCTGCCCATCTTCGGCTCCGGTTCACCCCGCCCCGCGTGGGAACAAACAGCCCGCAGCCTCCAACACTGTGCCCATTGAAGTGGCATGCGGTCACCGCAATCCGTACATCGGCGCACGGCTGCCTCTGTCATTTCGAGGAGCGTCAGCGACGTGCCAACCCAGATATGGAATAACCCAAGCGTATGGAACCAACGCGCCAGTTTGACCTGCGCTCACCTGGCCGTGTACAACCAACCGCTGTACAACGATCCGCAAGTCAACTCAGCCATTCAATTGACCACAAAGGAGGATCAGACCATGGAACTCGGCGCTTTTTCAATCAGCCTGGCGGTAGCGGACATCGAAGCCTCCAGGGTTTTTTACGAGAAACTCGGATTCGAAGTTGTTGGAGGCGATGCCTCAGAGAACTGGCTTATCATCAGGAACCACGGCCACACCATCGGTCTCTTCCAGGGCATGTTTGAGAAGAACATGCTTACCTTCAACCCGGGTTGGGATGACTCGGCTCAACCCCTTGATACCTTTACAGACGTCCGTGAGCTGCAGCGGAGGCTGAAAGCGGAGGGGATAAACCCGGCCGTCGAAGCCGATGAAAACAGCGCGGGGCCGGCCAGTTTTGTAGTGTCCGACCCGGACGGCAATCCGATCCTGCTAGACCAGCACGTCTGATTACGGTGGCCCTTCTGCAGGCTGGCCGGTCACCGACTGATCAAGTTCAGGGCCCCGCCAATTCGAACCCCTGGAACGCGCCGTCAGGCGCTACGGGTACTCTCCCGCATCGCCGCGATCCCGTCGTTCAGGCCAGGATGGGGCAGCCCCAGCAGGCCCATCGTCCGCGTGCAATCCAGCCCCAATAAATCACCGCTCCTGCGCGCCGCGACATGTTCCCCTGCGTTAGCGCCACGAGGTTCTCCCGACGCGTTACCTGTCGGGATCACCAGCCGGCGATCCAGGTTAAACCCTTCGGCGACCGCGGACGCGAAGGCATACATGCTCACCCAATCGTCGCCGGCCACGTGATGGATGCCCGGGTAGTCTCCCTCCACCAACTTCAAGATGCCGTCCACGAGGTGTCCAACGTAAACCGGCGTTCGATATACGTCGGTGGGGCCATCGTAAGAATTGCCGCTCCGCAGACGTTCGATCAGCCACTGCGCGAAATTTCGCTGCCCCGGCTCCGGCCATCCGTACACTATGCTGGTCCGCAGGATGCTGCCGCGGGCCGCCAACTTGGCCACTTCCTGTTCGGCCTCCCACTTTGTTTGGCCGTAGTGGGTGGTGGGGCTCGGAGGTTCCTCCTCTCGGTAGTAGCCACGCTCGCCGCTGAAAACATACTCGGTAGAAACGAAAACCAGCCTGGCCCGATGTGCGTCGCTTAGCCGCACAATTGTTGACGTTGCGGCAACATTGACGGCCGTAGCCCTCGCAGGTTCCCGTTCCGCCCTTCCCACGTCCGCCATTGCGGCGAGGTGCACCACCACGTCGGGCTGGGTAAACTGGAATACCCGCTCCAGGGCCGCGGCGTCGGTTAGCTCGACTGGGTACCAGTTGTTGCCGTCGTCACTGGGAGCGCGGGACAGGAAGGTGCCTGCCACCTCATCGCCAGGCGTGTCGCCCAAACGCCGCACCAGGTGTTGACCGATGAACCCGCTGGCGCCGATAACCAAAATCCGCAACAGAGCCCTCCCTGCGTCAAACCGGTCAGACCGTCTCTTCGAGGCTCATCCACCGGATTGGTCATACCAATGATTTCATCTCCTATTGAATAGTACGCAAACCACCGGAATGATGGCAAACGTGATCGACTTCTCACGCGTACTCGCTTCAACCTGTCATTGCGAAGAGCATAGGGACGCGGTAATCTCGATGATCCCGGACACGCTTCAGTACCAATTGCGATTGGCGGGTTTGGGTTCGTGAATTGCCACGGCCTCTGGGCACACCTATAATCCCGTGTAAATCGCTCCCGGTGATTCCATCGGGTGCAAACCGGAACGCTTGTGGGAGGTCTGATCATGGCTACTGCGAAGGTTAATGGCGCAGAGATCTATTATGAGGAATCGGGGAGCGGACCACCCATCATCCTTTCTCCCGGTGGGCTCCAGGGTGTCGCAAGCAGCTACCAGCCGGTGATCGAGGCTCTCTCACAGGAGCACCGAGTAGTTGTTTATGATCGCCGCTTCGGGGGCCAGTCCCGCAGCCCGTTGGTCGTCCAGACCTGGGAAATGGTTTGCGATGACGTTTTCGGCCTGATGGACACTCTGGGCATGGACCAGGCATACCTGGGAGGTGGCTCTTTTGGCGCTGCCATATCCTTCGGATGCGCTTTTCGCCGCCCCGAGCGCGTCCGCGCCATCTTCCCTTCCAACATCGCCGGAGGCGTGATCTGCGACGGATACCTCACCGGCAAATTGTTCAAGAGCATGGACATGGCCGAGAACGACAGCATTTCGTCGGTGGTGGACGCGTTCGACTCCGACGACCGCTTCTCCCCTTTTAGTCCCGAGATAGCACAAACCGATGCCCAGTACCGCAAAACCCTGGAATCCATGAACACCGAAGATTTCGTTCAGGTCATGCGCGACACCATCTACGCCTTTTTCGACGGCTCATATCCGACTTTGGGCATGACCAAGCAGACTCTCCAGAGCATCCGCGTCCCGGCGATGGTTATGCCGGGAAACAATGACGTTCATCCTCGGCGCGTGGCCGAGATGGTCCACCGACTGGTGCCCAACTGCGAATGGGCCGAAGTGCGCCCCCACTCAGAGGAACCCGAGAAGTACACCAAACGCGTCATCCAGTTTTTGTCCACCGTGGAGGCCGGCTGACCCGCATAGTCAACTGTTGCGGACGGCCGACCGACCCGTTGGCCGACTGCAGCACACAAAAAACAAGGGCAACCATGTAGGTTGCCCTTGTTTTTCTGCATCTCGTGTCTTTTGGTTAACGAGTTCTGTGGTAGCGATAATCCCGCGCCGAACCGCGCTCCGGGATGGCAGTGGGGTTTTTGGGAAGGTATCCGTAGTTCGGGTCAACGCCCAATTTGGCGCCCAACCCGTTCCGCAGCACCCCGATGTGCTCCACTTCCATCTCCACAACGTCGCCGGGTTCCAGCCAACGGGCGGTCTCATAGCCCTTGCGAATCGACTCCCGGATCGAACCGCCGCCCACGGTGCCACTGCCAATCACGTCGCCCGGGGCGATGCGGCTATCCTTCGACGCTCGTTCGATAATCTCGCCCCAGCTGTAGTAGGAGGTGAAAGCGGCCAAGGGGCTGCAAAAAGGAGGAGCAGGGACAGGGAAGGGGAAAGAAAATAGGGGGGAAGGAAGGAGAAACAGACCCAGGTGACACAAACCACAAACAAAAACACACAGACAAAACCAACACCCCACCAAACACTCCCCTCCACAACACACCCCCCACAACTACGAAACAACAATCTCCTTTCCCCCCCAAAAACAGAAAAAAAAAAAAAAAAAAAAAACAAAAAAAACACAAGACAACCAACAACAAACAATTAATCAAAAAAACACCTCCCAACTCTCTCCCACGTCCCCCCAAAAAAACCCCTCCCCCCTAAACCCACCAAAAACAACGACATCCTCCAAAGAAAAACAAAAAAAAAAAAACAAACCTCAAACAAAACACACAAAAAAGAAAAAAAAGCCAAAAAAAAAAAAACACAAAAAGAGCCCCCCCCCCCCCTGCCCCCCCCCCACCACGTATGGTACGATTACAGTCTCGTACGGAGTTACCAGCCACGGGCCGATGGACGAGGCGGAGTCTTTCCCCTTGGCCGGCCCCAGTCCAAACGTCATCTCGTCAAACTGAAGATCGCGGGCGCTCCAGTAATTGAAGATGCAGAATCCGGCGATGTACTGCAGGGCTTCGGACGCCGGCACGTTGGTTCCGCCACGACCGATGATGCAGCCTATCTCCAGCTCGTAATCCAGTTGATCTGATGCCGGACGGGA